GTCCGTGTGTGTGTGTGTGTGTGTGTGTGTGTGTGTGTGTCTGTCTGTCTGTCTGTCTGTCTGTCTGTCTGTCACGAAATTCATAGCACCTGAAGAAGAACTTGGCGGGGTCATGGTGGGGAGGGTAGGCATGGAACAAAATGTAAATAGCACCCGTGACCCATGGTAAGCCCACCAGTGGGCGGGCGTGCGCCGAAAGTTAGCGATGTCACTGAAAAATCATAACTCGGTTGCAGAGCAGTCCCGACATAGGGGAACAGTGCAATAAAGTTGACCTATCATTGGCGGGGCGTGCATTTGAACACGAGGTACCAGTTTAAAAAATCGTAGTTTGGTCCTAAAGCACTACAGACGGCGCAAAAAAGTGGATTATGGTCCCCAAGTGATCACATGTTGGAATGTGCGAGGCACTCCCGTTGTGGGCGGGGCGTGCCCCGAGGTGGGTGGAGCCAAATTTGAAAAATTCGCAAAACGGTTCCAGAGCACTCCAGACACCGGGAAAAAGTAGTTTAAGTCACCGAGGGGTCATCGGTTCACAAGTGTGAGGCACATCCGTTGTGAGCAGAGCGTGCGGCGAGTGGGAGCCAGTCTTAAAAATTCCTCAAGCGGTTCCAGAGCACTCCAGGCACTCCAGACCTCTCTGTGATACGGCCCGGCTTTGCGGGGCGTGGCTCCATCGCGCCTACCTGCATTCGTATGATCAAATGCTCGACTAATACCCGGCTTTTCTCTCATCTGTCCACTTGATCAACGCTCCCACCACTCCATACACCGTAATAGTGTTGAAAATAGCAGGTATGATGCTATTGGTCAAAGAATGTTGACCATCTGTTCAGATGAAAGAAAAGCCGGATACTAGGTGGGTAATGAAATGTGTGGAAGAAGGTAAGCGCGGCGGAGCCGCGCCCGCTCGGCGAAGCCGTGCTGTATCTCAGAAAAAGGCCGCGTCAGCCGACGAAGCCGGCTGGTATTTCATAACTAAGAGCAGATGTAGCTGCGAAAGAACACTTCTCCTCCATCCTTCAATTAGGATATATTCTGAACAAGTCAATCTGGTTTGCACTCCGTTCAGCTACAAGTAGTGCACTTGCACTAAGTCTAAGTATCATATACTCGTGATCAGCAGAACACCATTTCTCCTCTTGCAGACCGTTTTGATGCCCGTACTGGAGGTAGAGCAGGAGCATAAGACTGGAGTGAGGCTGACAAAGAAAATCATTAAAACCCCTGTGGAACCACGAGCTGAAGAGATGATGAGACACAGATCGGACAGAGTGAGCCGCTTGTGGAAAATGCAGCCAAGTGTTTTTGGCCTTCTGCAGGTACGATTTTGAATCAACTGTGAATAGTATTCTCAAACTATAGCTTCATAAAATCCTTCGAAGTTTTCCGAAATTCTCCCTCGAGGGCAAAAATAAACTTTAGCCTGTTGCCTGACCACCAATAAATTACACTCGGATATTTCTGATGAAATTCTTATTAATATGTTATGGAATGGAAACCTAAGACATTGCGAATGTAATACTTACAGTGAGCTTATGGGAAGTCGATCTGTGGTAGAAGCCATTGTTGAGCTGAATAAGGTGAAAAGAAGTTTTCGTAGGAAAATGTGAACGGCCCCATAAGACTCCCGCTTCTGGTCACAAGGTGCAGGTGACGTTCTCGGTCGCACGAGGTGGCAGATCGCCTCCCGTGACGAAATCTGTGGCGTCGCCCGTCAGCGCGTGCGATGCAATAAGACCACAAACAAAGGTGGAATCGCGTCGCGCAGGGTGCCTGTGCTAGTTTTTTTTGTGGCTGCCAAGCGTGTGTGACTCTCAGAGAAGGCTCAGCAGAAGGGGTGAAGAACTTAAACAATCGGAATGCGTCACTCTGTTCGGCGTACTTTCGAAAAATTTTGCCGATGGGTTTGCCAGAAGGAGCGGAATGTTAGCCGTGTTGAGTTAAGTAAGCCTGGTAAGAGAGCATAATTGCAAGAAGATAAGTTCTGGGAGGGGGGGCGTTGGCGCAGAGTGGATGAAAGAAGGCCATTCCTAGGTTATGGTGCAACGCTACTCTTCAGTATTGTGAGTCCCGCCGTTCCGAAAGTAAGTAAAAAAAATCAAGGGAGAAACAAAGAGGGGTTGGGGGAAAGGGTAAAAGTGAAAGGTTAAGGAGAAGATAGAAAAGCGGGATTGCGTCATTCTCAGACCGACACATGAGAGGACGCGAGCCACGATAGTATAATGTTTCGCCGTTCAGCACTCTAAAAGCCTTATGCTAAGAAACATTTTCAGTACAGTGCGCTTACAGGACACACAATATTGTTATAAATTCTATTACCTAACACAAAATTCGCAGAAACAACTTCCCACAAAAACAGAGCGAAACCTACTTCTCTAACATGTATCAGGCAAGACACATTTGTCCTCAAAAAATAGAAAACACAGTAAAACAATGGCCCTGCTGAAAATGGAGAAATGGCTGAAGAGACAGGCTGCCGTCGCGGGTGGGGGGCGACAAGCCGCAGCCGCGCCGCGGGGAGGGGCCGGTGGGGGGGGGTTGGGGGTTCGGCGTTGGGTCGGGGGGTCGGGGTGGGTGGGGGTTTTGGTGGGTGCGTGGTTGTCGTTATTCGCGACCTTTGCCGCGCTAATTCAACCCTCGGATAACATATATTTTACCATATTTTGTTTATCTGGTACTATGTAGTATGTAGCTCTTATTGTTGCTTATGGCTACTGAATTACATTTGCTTATCCATTTAGGGGGGTGGGTTGGCTTGGTTCGAGGTTATAGTGATGTGTTACATTTTACCAGCCGGGTAGTTGAAGGGACCGCTACTTGCTAGTACAAACGTCTAAAATACTAGGTGAGAATAATAAGGTTGGCCAATGTCAATCCAACCGAATCCGGTGCAAAAACTTACCCGGCAGATCTCAAACTTTGATCATATTCTTGAAAAAGTGACGCAAGATGTGCATTTCTTGCTAATTTTTCACAATCTAGTCTCACAAATAATCCAGAAAGGGGGGAGGGTCATACTCTATTGTCGGTAAGTTGATTTGTTCAAGTCAATGCTTCAGATCGCTCAGAATATGACATCATCGTTCATCTATCAGTGTGAAGGTATGTGAGATTTTTCGAATGCTCTCGAATACAAATCATTCTAAAGGGGCACGGGAAAACGTCCACGCAGGAAGCCAAATAGCATTGCTGTGGTCCAGTTTAGCAGAAGTGACCTTACATTGCAAACAAGCAGTAATAGTTAGTGATGGGCATTTGACTTTTTTTTCTTGGGGGAACAGAGTTACTTTCTGCAACTCTAAATCACCATAGCGGCGTCCATCCATTCATTTTTAACAAAATGGCATCTGAAAACGACGATCTGGTCAAACGTGAGGCATAAGTAAACATCCCATTCAAAAGCTCCGCATAAAAGAAAAAGAAAAGAAGTTGGCGCAAAAGAACTGTGGCTCACTTGCAGATAATAGTTGAAGGGTATGACATGTCAGAATATGACATCAATTGGTTAGCTGAGGAGAAAGTTGCGCATGAAAGACCATCTTAGCAAATTCTTTTGGCTCTAATGGCAAATTCTTTTGGCTACTACTAAATTTTTCAATCCAAAGCTTCAGCGCTGATATCTGATAATGTCTTGATGAAGCGACTGGCTGAGGAGAAGTTCGATGTTGGCATTGCTGAACCTATTTCTGTCTGTGGTCTTGGTGAGTAATGAACGATGTCTGAAGCTGATCAAGTGTTTCTCGTTTTCTAAGTTTTTGTATTCAGGAATATTTGAAGCTGTAGAAATTCCCTCGTCCATTGCAGCATTTTCTGGTGTTCACGTAGAGATCGTTTCGAAGTACATTGGAGAGCCTATAAATCCAAGCTATGTTCCTGGTGAGCGACACAAGTGAGCCTTGTGAAAAAAATACATATTTATATTATCTGTCATCTGTGTTTAGTTTCAGTTTAGAAAGCTTTACGGGTCGTTGTTTATTCCTTGTTTTTCGTGAGTGCAGACAAGGACTCCTGAAAAGCCAATACATGGAGATGATGAAGAGTGGAAGCGTTCCTTCAATTTACGCGGATTCGTGGGCACATACAATCAGGGTACAGCATCTTTGTGCGAAATCCATCAGGGGGAAATGATCGTACTTCGCTGTTGGGGAGAGGGGTGGGGTCTCAAAAGCAGGGTCAGTGAGCGCCAAACAGCACAAAAGTGTCATCGCTAAGTTTGATGGAGAGAACAGAAAGCTGCAGAGGAACCGGATGTAAGGAAGACTACAAA